CTATATATAAACTAAATATATTTATATAGGGATGCCCATGGAAGAAAAGTTAAGTTCGGTGATAGGAGACTCACTATCTAGTTTACGAAACGAAATAATATACAGGTTTTACCGGTGACGTTAATAGCAACTAGTAACTTTTGAGCAAAGAACAAGTAGACTCTCAGTCCCAGAACTAATTTGCTTCAAGGATAGTGACAAATGTTTTAACAATTGTAGCCATGAAAGTGTATGTCGATGGTCTAAATAAGGGCAGAGTGCTGTCACAGGTCGTCGTGACTATGTGGCGGCAGGAGTACTTTCGGCGTATGGAGTGTTGTATGCGATGCACTCTGATAGTCACAACGCGTATCCGTATTGAAGCATAAGTATCAACAGGGGCAGAGGAGTCGCCTTCCCTGGATTTTTTGTGTGGTCAGACTATCAAGATTTTTGTGTTCCGGCATGAATGTCTGCATACTAAATCGGAATGCCGAAAACCCTTGCAGAAAAACGAAGTGCTCGACGAACTTCTGATACGTATGTAAGCGATAGCAATGCTCCGTGTTTTACACTTATGGTGGCTGGTGCAAACTGTGAAGCAAATGTAAATTCAGCAGCGATCGCATTATATTTAATCAGAGTCTCATCTCGGAAGTCATCTTCTTTGAAGCTCGTAAACGATATTGTGCCGAAAACAGTATTTCAAAACCTAGCAACAAAATCAATTGTATGCTGGTGGTGTTGTCAGAATACACCTTTCAAGGACGGACGTAGGTCGTATGCTCATAAATACGTCAGCAAAAATACGCTGTAAGCGTCCGAATCACTAGTATATAGAGAAAGTCCCCAGCGGAACTCAACGTAAAGTGTCGAATAGTAGTTATCAGCTTCTTCATTTCTAAACGGCTCTTCGTACGCTTTCAAATCACATTTTGCTCGCATAAATAATTCGACACGGGCGAAGCTAAATCCATGCTCCAACTTCCGTCAAATATCATAACATACCTCCGCCAGCGGCAGTTATGTTGTGTCACATTTGTTGGTCGGAGACGTCGTGTGAAGTCGTATGCAGTTTCTTCTCCAAAGTCGTGTGTGCCCTAGTAAATGTGTGTACTATTTTCAACTGTATGATTCGTCAGTGTGTGGGTCCGTGTCCAATGACAATCTTCATACAGCGTACGCGACACATATTTGTTCCTGCGTTAGTAACAATTGCTGTTCTGATTCGTGAAAAGACCTGAAAGAAACACTTCATGGGAATGACATTTATATAAAGCCAGGTCCCCATAGTTATTTGAAGGTTTTAATACAAAAAAAGTCGATCATACCGAACTTAAATTCAAACATGCAGACCTTCATTACCTATCCTGATATACCCAGATAGTCCTCATACTGATACTTTGCACTTGCAATACTTACCTACCGCGCTGGGAAGAAGATGTGGATTTTGTCCACATAGAAATAGTAGCTAAAGAATCGGAAAGTATTTTTCAGATTATATCTATACAGCATTACAAACCCTATCTAATTCACACCCACAACTACTGAACATCACAGATAACCAATATTCAATGACGTCTTGCTTGCCCCGTGCCCCACGACTACTAGATGTTATAGAATACCTTTACAACTTGAATCACATACGCCATTCAATTACCTGTTCGAGTATTGAGCTTTGAAAGCACATCATCGAACAGTATCGTGCCCTCTTAAACACTGAGAATTGGCTTGCATATTTATGTTGCATCGATAGTCGATTTGGACATGCATGTATGCCGAAGTTGCTTTGTGTAGTCGGTATTTCAGTAAAAATCGCAAACTTTCAATCTAAAATCATATCATATGCCTACGGTATATGCCGATTAAGCTAAGACGTTACTAGCAGAGCGCCTGAACAGCGGTATCATCATGTACTCCGCTAAAATGCAAAAAGTGAGAGATTAACGCTCCCCACTCTGTAGTTAAACCCGGCTTTGTGTTAGATGTATCAAATAGCGGCGATTTCAAGATCAGACATCTTTTCTATGGCAAGTTAGTATTATTCACATCATATCATCAGGTGACTCGGCTGGCTTTGAAGTGGGGCTTCATGTAGTTTGCTTATCACAACCAATTCTTGTTCTGCATCGCAAGTGCAAATTGGTACTGCGCCGAGATTCAAGCTATTTCTCCTGCTTTCTCAAATCTTTATCCCCAGTTTGTGATCTAGCGATCTGTAGGTCTAGGATTATGCCAATTCTTCATTCAGACCCTCCAAATACGAGCCAAGGAGTCTTCTCGAATACAAGAAAGTAGCTCGAAATGCTTATTCTGTTATTGTGAGTGTTTGATCTTATCTAAGTTCTTTATATTATTTTATATTTAGGTGCGTTTGGTGCCAAACTTCCAAAATAATCCACCCAGAGCCAAGTTGGCGAAGCAAAAGGTGGCAAATCTCAAAAGACCGTCTTTCGTTATCACAAACGACCTGGCTATCGTCCGGTCCGTATCGAGTTGCTGCAAAGTTCGAGGCGAGATTAACAAAGAATACACAGTCGGATCAGCTCAAATATGACAACCATTTCAACAATTTCTGAGAACACATAAATCCATGGTGCTAATAGTGAGGGCAGGGCACACGCTGTTAACCGGAACTCGATGCCGAAATCCGCACTAGCTGTGACGTATTGTATCGCCCAGGAGATAATATTGTGCACTATTCCGCGACACTGTTGAAGTTAAGCGAATGAATCCTGAAGGATTGAGGGCTGCCACACCGTATGAACGGGCCATCAGAATTCTACGGTAGCACTCCAACCAGTGACGACTAGCACATTACTGTACCACCACAGGTGCACAGAGCTCGTAGTAACAGCTCGGATATCAGGGGAAGTGGATTCAAATACTTCACTCAAAATTGTCCTTGGGCAAGCGTCTGTTACGATCTTGAAGTATGCTCTAGGAAGTATGTGCTCGAGGCTAAGTCACCCACCATAAGGGGGTACCTATGTCGCGCTATGACAGTTTGTGCCGACTCAGATGAATATACTCACCTTCCCTACCAGTTTTAATTGGGCAGATAGGCACGGCCAAACATATTTATATAATAAAAGCACGGGCTTACAAATACGGACACATATGGACACATAAAGACACACACATGGTAGACACCAATACTGACCCGAAGCGTTTTGATGGCCAGGTAGTAGCAGCCTCGCATAATCAGATCATCAGCCACCACCATTTTGACCGGGATGGCAGCAATTGTTGGTGACACCCTACCCTTGTCCTGTATAATAAAGCAAACCACACATTACCATGTGCAAGCAACAAGGCGTGGGCAACGAAATGAGGGAGTGGGAGTATAGGTGAGACGTTTTTGATCGCCTCAAGTGGTAGTATGCTCAAACATCGCCGAGGTCACTAAAGGTGCTTGAACAGAACCATATATATATATATATAGAAATATAGAAATATATATACATACATACATACATACATAC